GTAACGGCGCATTGTAATTGTACCCGGTAGGCTGGTCCTGGATCTTGATGTCTTGTATAATCTGATTGTCATCCAGGTTCATCGTTGCTCGTCGTGCGACATGGTCCAATCCAGGGCCATTCTTTGGAGACTGAACGTAAGTTCGAGCTCCTTTACCAATTCGAGTGTGAATGCGATGGTGTACAACACTCGTATGGCTTCTCTTTGTTTTGTGAAGACCCATTTTATCAATCAGTCTCGCGGTCACGAAAGCCAATGTTTCGTTGCGCCCTTCTGCCTGCTGAGCGCCTTGGCCATGCCAGTCCAATTCATGCTCAGCAAGTTGGGCAGGTTCCCCTGGAGTTTGACGCATGCATCTCCACAGGTAGGTTGAGATGCGCGTGAAGGTAGTTGCCACTTGCAGATATGATCCGCTAGGCAACTTACTTGAACGATCGTGTGTCAGGCCGAAATGGCAGCATCGCATACCCATGACCTGCAATTCGAGATCTTCAATGGCACCTCGTACGGGACCCTGTTTCAAGAGATATCCTGGTGGTCCCACAAGTACCATAGACACGCGTAGAGCCCGAGCTTTACGTCATCAGTTTTTGGATGCGTTGATAATGTGGCCCTGGCCGTTTTCCAGGCAATCTAACGTGCCAGTCAGCGGGCGTTGCCACCCATAGCAATTGATACTCCCCCGAGAGTAGTGCACCCAACTACTGTGTACCAGTAAAGGTCAAAACCTCTATATGTGCGATGCGGTCACACATGTAGCCGCGAGCTCGGATTTCAGCGCAAACTGTCCGTATGAAACCAATGACAAGTGCACGAGAATGATAATGATGCGATGAGCGCTCATTTGCTGCAGCGGCCACGCAGCCGGGTCCACTGCTGTCCTTGGCAGCCGCGCAGCCGGGCCTGTCAGTGCCCCTGGCGCGCACAGCCGGCGCCTGGCTAAAGAATGTCGGTTTCCCCGCGCTGAGATGACAGAGCCTGAGTGTTCGGCCTGTCGGAGCCAGCGCGGGTGGCCGTGGTGCGCGCCTGCCCCCGCCACTCATTTTCAAGCGATGGGAGCGTCCAAGTGCCCGTGCCATGCTGCGCTGCTGAGCCGCTGCTCGACATGGAAATGTCAAACTTCTCAGCGACATCATCCCCTCCCGCAGGTGTCCCTGCCTTCGCGTCGGGCGGCATCCACTTATTGCCCTCGTCGTAGATGGCCTGATGGACCTTCGCCTGCAAGTTCAGCAAGGCGAAGTCCTGGTCGGCCGGTGTGGGGGTACTCCCGAAGGACGCGTTGCTGTGATGCCACGTCTTCAAGGTGTTACTCAGCAAAGACTGGATCGTGAAGGCAAGCGTCTCTTCGTTGATGGAGAATCTGATGCCCTTGGCATCCTGAGACATCATGTATGCATGGGCGTCGCCCGTAGCAGGTGCCCCCACACTACTCGAAGCAGGTTGCCCCGCGACTGTCTCTGTGTCAGCTGCCTCTTTGACGAACAACGGGGCATCCTCGCAGTGAGGGTTGACTGCAGTAGTAAACGACATCGACCTTTCGTCCTCAGTTGCGGCCCCGTGCTCGTCGACCTTCAGCGGCAGGTGCCCTGAAGGCGTTTTCATCAAATCAAGTACTCGGGCACCCTTCCCAAGGAGGAACTCGTGCACACCAGAGCCGGGGATGGCCATCTTCACGCGCCCATGCTCCAGGATCAGGATAGTCCTCATGTTAGACATACTCCTCAGACCCAGGATAGCAGGGATAATGTCCCCCTGAACCCTCAGCCACGTCGGCTGAGTCGGTATCGATTCTCGGCGCAGCAGGTGCCCCCCCCGGTATCCTTTTCTTTGCGCGCAATTTTACAGTGCAAGGACTTGTCGCATACAGCGGCACCATGTCCCACTCCAGACACGTAGAGCGTCTTCGACAGGATCAGCTTCTTGATATCGTGTCCATGAGAGCGGGATACGCGTTCAAACGTCTATCCCGTTTCCAGACCAATGATGTGGATGTTGCTGCCGATGTCCAGAAGGATCGTCAACGTTCCATGCGCCATGGTCCCACTGTTCGCGGCCAAGGCCAATTCATGGCGTTCTCAGAATATTCCTGGCACTTCAGACAGCGTCGTACCATGCATGCCCTTGCGGCGCCTCTGCTCTAACACCCCGTCGTCCTTCGTCAGAGACGTGAGAGCGTTCATGTATCCGCGGGCCTCCCCCTCCGTAGTGGGGCTCTTCTCGGAAATCCAGGCCGCGGGATACTCGTCATGCATGCGCGGGCGCGGTGCAGATGCAAGCGGCATGTTCATGAACGTATCCTCGTCAGCGCGTATGCCTATCTGGCCATCTATGTTCACCATCAACACAGTGTGTAGCATGTCGCGCTCGGATATCGCACTGATGCCGCTGCGCACGCTCGCCGGGCTCTCCGTCCTGCGCTGGCTGCGCGGGCGGATGTCTCGCCTATATGTATGTGGAGCTTGAAGCTACTGTGCGTTCCTCTCGGCCGCTCTCTCTATGAGCCTCAGCCACATATCATAGGCCGGCAACGCGGCAGGTGCAGTCGTACAAGTTATGCCTGCATTGTTGGCTGTTTCCGCTATCAATAGCATAGGCGTATCCACGGCAGGCGCGGTAGCTGCCGTCGCATGCGCCGCGTTGGCTGATGAAGCAGGTTGCCCCGCAGGTGTTGTTGCGGCAACTGCCGTGTTGTTCGTCATCATCACCGTGATGTGGTTGAGCTCTTCGCGTAGGTCCCTGAGTTCGTTGGCCCCTCGGAGTATTTCTTCATGGCGATTTGCTGTATCTTGGTCGCCAGCAAGGGCATAATGAAACTCAGCTTTGATTATTAGACCAACGCCCCTGCAAATAGCGCAGGGCGCCTCAGTTGCAGCACCCTCCGAAGTACCAGCCAACTGCCTGTCCACATGAGCGTGCGCCACTCGGCCCCAGCACTGCGCATGGAATATGTGACCACACTGAAGCCTCCAGACCTTGTCGTGATGCTTGAAGTGGTCAAGGCATATGGCACACTTGTTAAAGTCACCGTCGCTGATGACCGGCGGCGTTGCCGATGGCCTGATGCGCGTCTGGCGCTCCAGAGTGGTTTCACCAAGCTCATACTGGATCGGTGGAACCGCCAGTGGCTGCGTGGCTGCAACTGCTGCCAGGTTGAATGCAGGTGTCCCTGCTGTGATTCGAGTAGCAGGTTGCCCCGCGCGACCCGGCGCCCCGTTCGCCTGCCGCTCATGATTGCGGCGCTGGCGGGCCAATAGCATTGAGAGGTCGGCCGGCTGCGCCTCGTGAAGGGTCAGAATCTCCCGGCGCAGCTCCCGCATGGATGATGGCGCTACCAGGCCGGGGGCCTGTTGAGGCACATCTGAGTCCATAGGGGTAGCCAAATATCCATAATGCGGAATCTGGCCCAGCGCACCTGACGTGTAAAGCCGCGTGTCAACTGAGACTGCCAGAAGGCGTCGGCTGTCGCCCGTGCATACGGGTTCTCCAGCTGCGTTCCCACGCGAGAGTGACCCGTCACCTGAGCATGGTAGTCAGGGTACGATGGGAAGTCCATCGGTGGTGCTGTAGGGCGCTCTGCAACTGTCGGATCGTATGTCGGATGACTGAGCAATGCTGGCACGTATCCGTGCCTATTGGGGTTGTCCGGTGATGGATTTGGGTCCGGGACATGCTCCCAAGGCGGCGTCCAGCTAGCGTTGGGGAGATCGATGCCGCCCCTGCGCATGCTCTGTGCGGCTCCGCGCATTTGCCGGTACATCCACTCTTGCTGACCAGCAAAACTCTCGGTCCTCTGTGCAGCGTTGTGGTCAAGGAATGCAGGTTGGCCGGCGTGTGGACGCGGCGATGCGAACGGCGATGTCGCCTGAAAGGCCTGGTAGAGCTGTGGGTCCATCCGAATGCTCGGGAGCCTCGCCTGTAGGCTGTTTGTGCTCCCAGCACTCTGTGGAGTCCCAAAGGGAGTTGTGGCCTTTCTCATAGGAGCAACGACGCAGGTTGCCCTGCAGGTACTGGCAACTGCTGCGTCTGGGCACGCCACGGATCGTTGGCGTACAACGTTTCGTTGGGAGTAATCCCACTCGATGACATACCAGTCACGTCCGCACTCTGGGCCTGGATCCATGATCCGTCGGATCCCCTTGCAAGTGTCACCGCTTGGTACCATTCTTGCATCATAAATACCGTAGAGAACTCGACCTCCTGGATAAGCGTCGGTTCGGGGCACTTCAAAATCAACGATGGTGCATCATTTCGAAATTCGCACAACTCGACGAGGCTAAAATCACGGTTCGCATTTCTGCGCGTTGTCCCACAGGTATAAGGGATGGACCCATACATGTCCCACTCGATTATACCTGCACTTCTCTTTGGGCAGAACGCCTATGAACTGGGCGATGTGAGTCGGAAGAATTATGCCGTTCCGGCCTGCCGACACTCAAATATCATTTGCTGCGCGCCAAGTGGCCATACGAGCGGGAAGCAAGTTTTTTACACTAACCATAATTAATACTTCGGAGTCGACGCGAAGGCCAAAGTGGATTCTGTTGTCACCAGGTAGCATATGGGCAAACATCAACAAACTGTCTGCCTTTTCTCTTGATGGTGTCGTCGGCGCGGCATGGCAGTCCTATGCGAAGTACATTCGGGATATGCTCCCATTGGGTACTATGAATGAAATAACAAGGTGCACCTGGAATGGTCAAACCCGTTATCCTCATATACAGTGATTCAGGGCATTTTATCCCAGGGCTGCTATCCATTACTTGGGCGTATGAAGTATGCATCGTGAGTCCTGGTAGCGAAATTGCACTTCTTGATATGGAGCCTCTGCTTCTGCATACCACCGTTGTCGACCGCGCCGATCTAGTTCAGCACAGCTAATGCTTGATATGCCCAATGGCGGTTGCTGAGACATCGCCAGAAAGTCTCCAGGTGTGTGTCCGCCGATGCCCCGGATTCCGTCGTCCACGCTCCGCCCAGATCCGCCTAACGGCGCGCACCACCTCGCGAACACTTCAGCGCGCTGATTCGCCATGGTGCTCTTAGCCGCGTCCGTGCGGCAGTGGGCAGCGATGCGAAAACCCTCCGACAAGAGACCGTGCTTCTGGAACACCCTCTGCAATTCCGTGTGCACGGGCGCCGCGACGAGCATTCCGCCGCCAAACGCCGCCACCGAGAGCGCCTGGGGCATCGATTCCGTGACGTACGCGGCGTGCTCTTTGAGGACGGGGGGCATATAGGCGTCCACCCACTCCCCGAAGAATCGCAGCGCATGTCCACTAGCAACCGCGGCTGCATCGATCGCCTTCGGGGCTGGCCAAGCTGGCAACCAGTCATCTCCGATGACCTCGGGGTCTTCCTCGCGCGGCTGCTCCTCCTCTCCGAGCTCGCCGCCGTCGCCGCCGCTCTCCTCGGCAAGCTGGCGCAGGTCGTCAGCCTCCGCCTCCACGTCCGCGGCCGCCGCGTCGGCCTCTACTTCCGACGACGCCTTGCCGCGCTCCTCGCTCGCTGCCCGACCCTCTCGGTCGCCGCCGCCAGCGGCGCCCTCGCGACGCACGGGGTCTGCCGAGGCGTCGTCTTCGGCGCGCCCAGCAGCGCCAGCTTCCGGCAAACCTTCCAGCGGCCCTCGAGCTTCCTCCTCGCCCGCTGTCACAGCCGCCTCCGCGGCTTCCCTGGCACTCGAAGCGGCCGCCGGCCGCCGAAGAGCGGAGGCCGCGGCCGCCCTCTTACCCGCACTCGAGGCCGGCGCCTCGGCCGGCCTCTTCTCGGCCCCGCTGGCGATGGACGACGGCGCCTGCCTGGATAGGCGCGCTCGGAGCGGCGACGAGCCTGCTACAGTGCTGGCCCGCGCCGCCGCAGGCGCCACGAAGTTGCCCAGGTCGAGGCGCCCCCAGCGGCTCCCACCCGGGAGCTTCGGCAGTTTTTTCGGGGCCATCAGCCGCGCCGAAGCGGGCCGCGCGCCGAGGCGGCCTGGCCGCGCGGGCCCACTGCGCCGCGCGCCTTGAGCCAGAAAGCTCTGGAGGGCAGCCTACTGACCCCATCGGGGCCCTCTCGAGGCCCCCCCCGCGGTTCCCAAGGCACATGTCCACGGACCAAACAAAAGCCTGCCTGGTTGTCTCACTGCCCGCCCTCCGCAAGGAGTGAACCAGATAATGAATATTATGGCCCTGGTCTTTCTCACCCCTTCCTCCCCCCGCCCCCCTCTCTTCCTCCTCCCTTCCTTCTCCCTTCCTCCTCCCAGTATCCCCTCTCCTCCTCCCGCCCTCCTCTCTTCCTCCTCCCCTCTTCCCCCCTCCCTCCCCCCTTTCTCCTTTATTCCTCCTCCCTTCCTCCTTCCTTACTCCTCTGTACCTCCCCCCTTACTCCTCTATTCCTCCTCCCTTCCCCCCTTCCTTCCACCCTCTTCCCCTCTTCCTCCCCTTCCGTGCTTCGGGCCGATCGGGGATTCGACTATTCTGTTCCGTGGATGGGAACATGATCTACCTTTGTAGGCTCTGTTTACCTGTTGCAGGAGCGTGCCTATTGCTTCCATTAGGTCTCGTGCGCCTTTGCTGCTGCTGCTGCTGCCGTTGCTGCTGCCACGCCAGGGGCCCAGGAGCGCCAGGCGAGCGAGCTAATCCGAGCCAAGGGGCGGCAACTGGCCCGCCACGAAGGCAAGTGGCAGCAGCAGCAGCATCAGCAGTAGATCTGCCAACGGCCGAACCCCTGGCATCTGTAAAATGGTCGTCGTCCTCCTCCTCCTCCTCCTCCTCCTCCTCCTCCTCTTCCCTCCCCCCATCCTCCTACCCACCCATCCTCTTCCTCCTACAGAGCGAGGGGGGGGGAGGGAGAGCAGCAACAAGAGCAGCAGCAACAACCAGAACCTTCGGCGGACAGGAACCGCTCTTGCTCTAACAGGGCGCGCCCTCGGCGCGCGAAGACTGGCTTGAAATGCTGGCAACTGGCAGCAGCAGGAGCAGCATCCGCAGTTGATCTGCCTACGGCCGACCCCCTGGCAGGTGTGCGATGGCCCTCCTCCTCCTCCTCCTCCTCTTCCCCCTCCCCGTCTCCCCTCTTTTCCTCCTCCTCATCCACGGATCCCGATTCGCCTGCCTGGGGCGGCATCGGTGCAAGTTTCAAGTCTGTTGCGTCCTCGTGGACGCGCCCAGCAGAGTACGGCAAAACCCTCCTGCGTCTCCTGCTCCTCCTCCGCCTTGCTTCCCCCCCCCATCCTTCCTCATTTTTTTGCAGAGCGAGTGTCAGACTCCCCTCGACTAAGCACATCGCTCGCATTGTCCGTAGCAAACTTCCGAAGCTGGAAAAGCAAGGCCTGTGGACAACCCCCGTGAGAGACCGCCACGGGCTGTCACTGCGCCATTCCCCTGAACTCTAAACCGAGCGTCAGCCCGCAACTCGCAGTGCATATCTCGCGCGCTGGACCTCCCCCCGCCGCCTCGGTCTATCTCCTGCGCCCCCCTGCCTCCCGCGCCCCTCTCGTCTCAGCGAGGCGGCCCCTGGGCGCCGGCCGCTCGACTGGAGAGCGCGCCAGGCGCCCCCGCCGCAAAGAAAAACACCACCGTGCCCCCGGACTCCTGCAGCGCGCACCTACGCGGCCTTGCGCGCGGACTTGCACGCAGGGGCGCCGCCAATGCTGGCTCTCTTCGCCGCCAGAACCGCTGGGGAATGCGGCGTCGCCTTTGGAAACGACGCCGCGTCGCCCACCCTGGCCCTCTCGGCGGCCCCGGGCGCAGCCCGGGCGCACCCTTTCTGGTCAGTGCCGCCGGCCCCGCTCCCAGGCGCGCTGTCTGCTGCACCGCTGGCGCCCTCCGCCTCGCTCTCCCCGCTCACTGCGCGGCCGGCGAGGATCGCCTTCCCCGCGTTCAGAGGGATCTCGGGGATCAGGCGGCCCTCGAGCGCGGGAAACTCCTCCTTCGTCTTGTCAGACTCCTCTGCGACGCTGATGAGGTTCTTCATGGCATCGCGGACCTTCTGCTTCTGCTGGGTCAGAATCCTCGACTGGCCTTTCGCCTCCCAAATCGACGACGTCACGTTCGCGCACCAGGCGACCAGGAAGAGCCGCTGTCGCAACTGTGACGTCATGGAGTCCACCTGCGACTCAAGATGGGGGTCGCGGTACACCTCCTTTATGAGAGAGAAGCCACCGATCACCTGGAGCGAACGCGGGGTGGCGAGGAGGAGCCGCGGCGGAATGTACTGGGAACGAGGGGAGCTCGGTGGGATGAGACAGCGGGGGACTGGTGAAGGAACACGAGGAGCTGGGGAAGACGGCGAACAAGGATCTGCGCACCTTGTTGACAGCATCAACCATCTTCCCACCCTTGCCGCCGAAGGTCTCCGGCATGTCCACGGTGCCACCGACAACCTTTAAGAACTCGGCCGCTTCCTGCAGCGTCTCGGGGATGGGGCTCCTCTCAAGAAGCTCCTTCGCGGCGCGCACGGCTGGCTCGGCGTCGAACCGCTTGACGGAGCGTTCAGCCCGCTCCTGCGCGACTTTCTCCAGCCATGGCACGGCCTGCGCGTGCAGCTCCTTGCTGGCCCCCACTGCTGCCTCCACATCTTCCACAGAAGCGTCGAAAGTCTTCGCGATGACCGTCTGGAAGGCGCGCTCCGGCTGCACCATGTCCCCGAGCTGACGCACGGCGTCGCTCGCGTTCTCCCACAGCTCCAGGTTCAGCTCGCCCCCGGCCTGCTTGGCAAGCTCCTTGGCGTCGGCGACGGCCGCGACGCTGCACAGCCACACGTCCGCTTCCTTCCAGGTGTCCTCGGGCGGCTCCGCGCTCAGCAGCTTGGAGATATTCAAGAAGGCCTGCAATTCCTTCCGTTGCCACGCCGCCGAGTCCACGCGCTTCAGAGACTGTTCTGCTGCACCCTTGGCTCTGGCCAGAACGCTGTGGCCCAAGGCCCTGCGCGCGCGCGCCGCCGTGCCCAGCGCGAGGGAGAACAGCGACTGCAGCCCCTCTAAGTTGTCTTCCGCAGACACTGTCACGCCAGAGACCTTCAACAACGCCTCGGGGCTCTCCTTCAAGAGGTCGCGCAACCGACTGGCTGTCTTCACTGGCTGCTTCGTCCCAGGTACGTCGAGACGGCTGCGCGCGGCGACGTCGGCGACCTTCTTCAATGCCCCGAGGGCGGTCTCGTGGAGGCCCTTGATGCCATCAGGCGCCCACTCCTCGACGGTCGACCAGCCGTGCTCCAACTCCAGCCGCTCGACGCACGCGGCAGTCAGGAGCTCCTCTGGAGAACGCGTTTCGGTGCCCAAACTAAATTGAGAAGGCGCGCTGCTGCAGCACCTCTTGCACAAGGTGTTCTCCTCATCATCCTCCTCCCTCCTCCGCCCCCTCTTCCTCCTGATCGTTCTGGCGGTCCGGGGCCCGGGGGCGGTTCATCTGTCTGTGTCCTGTTTCTCGCTCTCCCCCGAGGATTTGCCCCTCAGGCCTGCTGCGGCTCGCCCCGCCTCCTCGCGGGGCGAGCGCAAGAGCAGCCCGAGGACCGCGCCCTCGAACGCAGTGCCTCTACCGGAGGCAAACAAAGGCAACGGCGAGTTCAAACATCCCATGCCCAAATAGGAAAAACAAAAAAAAAAAAAAAAAAAAAAAAGCGCGCCGCAGCAGCGCCGGCCATACTAGAACCAATGGCGGATCGGAAACCCTCGAACCCCATCGAACGGACTCGCGATCTTGCGGAGGCCCGCCCGCGGCCTTCCCTGGCGAGTTGCTGCCGGTCGGCCTCCTGCAGCGCGCCCGCCTTGGACAAGGCCTCCTTCTGCTTCTTGCAGGCGCGCGGCACCTCCTCGGTCCAGTTCTGCCACTGTTCCCCGGCGGCATGGCCCGTCACCTGCGCGAAGAGCTCCCGGGCAGCCTGGGCGCACTGGAGAGCAGCCTCCTCGCGGGGCCGCTTCTTCATGGCCGGCTCCGCCCAACCCGCGAGGACATTGCCGCCCGGGCTCGTGTTCAAAGCGACGCCCAAGGCCCCCTCCAGCTGCGGGGGCGCCTCCAGCGCGTCCTCCACCTCAGTCAGCGGGGCAGTGCTCGCGCGCGACACTGCCCAGAGAACTTGGATTTGACCCTTCAGCTCCTCCTCCCACGCGGGCCGCGCAGGGTCGGCGGGGGCCCGCTGGAGAGCATCCCGCGCGGCGCCAGCGAACGGCAACCACGGCAGCAAACGATCCGCCCCCCTTCTTGGCGCCCGACTTCGCGACGGTCGAAATCAGGCCCGCGCCGACTCGCTCGAGGGTCGTCGTCGCGAGATCTGCCGAGGGCGCGCCATCTGCAGCCCCGCTTTCCAACAGGGGCATCAGCTGTAGCCAATCGCAACGCTTGATAGCCTCGTCTGCCTTCCAGCTCCTGAACCGCATGTGGTGCGCCACGCCGAACGCGATGTCCTCCGCCGCGGCGGTCTCGGCGTCTTTCAGGAGAGTCTCGGTGTTGCCTGGCTTCTCGCGCACAGCAGCCTGCGGACTCCTCCGCCTCCTCCCGCCTCCTCGCTCCGTCTTCTTCCTCCTCCGCTTCCGCCGCCTCCTTTGAACTGGGCCGGGGGCCTCCCAGCCCCCGTTCGCAACGAGGAATGAGCAACTTAATGCGTACTCTAGCCTTCGCCTCTCTCCCCCCTTCCTCCTCCCTACCTCCTCTCTTCCTCTTCCGACCTCCTCCCGTCCTCCTCCCTTCCTCCTCCCCGCCCTCCCCCCTTCCTCATCCCTTCCTCCTCCCTTCCTCCTCCCTTCCTCCTCCCTTCCGCGCCCCTTCCTCCTCCCTTCCTCCTGCCTTCCGCCTTCCTTCCTCCTACCTCCCTCCTCCCTTCCCCCCCCCTTCCTCCCTCCCCCCCTCTCGTCCTTCTCCTGTCCCCCTCCCTTCCTCCATCGACGACGACGACGACGACGACCGCGAACACGACCACGACCGCGACCGCTCCGCCTTGACGACCCGCACTGCCGCGGCCAGCGCCCCCTCTGAGCGCGCGAGCCATGCCTTGTTGATCTGCAGCGCCTGCGCGCCGTCATCCGGGATCTTCCCCATCTTGGCCGCCGCCTTCTTGGCCGTGTGGATGGCGCTCTCTGCGGCTGCCGCCTGCTCAAAAGCCGTGGCCTTGAAGTCCGCTCTCCCCTCCTTCGTGGACAGGTCCACATCTCCGCTGAAGTCGAGCAATTTGTGAGACTCCCGGAACGTGTTGAAGAGCGTGTCGGCCTCGCCCTTGAGTTTCCTGCCGGCCGCTGTGAGGCTGAATTCGAGGGGCTTCCGCCCCCTCTTCTTCGCCGCGGAGCCGTCCTCGAGAGGCGCTGGCTCGCCCGGCTGCTCGCCGTCCTCGTCGGAGTCATCGGGCGGCTGGGCGCGCAGGGGCGCGGCCCACGAACCGCCGCTGCCACGCTTCTTCCCTGGCTGGCTCCGGCCCGAGCGCTGCGGGGTCGCCGCGGGCGAACTGGCGCCGCTGCCGTCCGCTGGCTGCGCCGAGGGCGCGGCCGGCTGAGCAGGGGCGCGGGCGGCTGACCTCTGTGGCGGCGCCTGCGCCGAGGGCGCGGCGCAGTTCGAAGGGGCTGCGGCTGCGGGCGCGGCAACCCCTTCGGCGGCAGGCCTCTCGGCTGTCTGGGCAGCGCGCCCGGACGTAGCCCTCCCGGTCGTCTGGGCTGGTGGTCTGGCCTGCGGCTTGGTCGCAGCCTTGGGCGCGGGCTTGGCGGCGCGGGCCGTGCCCCGCAGGCCCGGCAGCGCCGCGGCCACGAGATCCGTCTCTTCGGCGTCCTCGTCGCTCGCGGGAGAGTCGGACTGGTGCCCCTCCGACGGCGCGCTCTCTGCCGCACCGATCTCCGCGCGCTGCGTGGCGCGCCGCAGGGCTGCAATTGGGGCGGCGGCGTCCTCGGCAGCAGCCGGAACCTCAGCCGCGTTTCCGCGTCGTCGTCTGACTCGGCCACAGTCGCCAGCACCGTCCTGTCCTCCACCTTGCGATCGTCGTAGTCCGCGATGTCGTACAAGAACTTCTTCGCGCCGTCCTTCATGACATATACAACCTGCCAGTAGGAGAGCAGAAAGGGAGGGCATTTCAACGATGAAGGAAGCGAGTGGGAAGACGACTTGGCAGCGCGCCTCCTGCCAGGCGCCGTCGATGAGCTCCTCGCCGCGACAATTCGGGTCCGTGGACAGCGGCGTCTCAGGGAAAGCCTCGTGCCACTTGCTCACGGGGCAGGCTTGATGCCAGTTCGCAGACAGGCGACGCCCGGAGACCTTGACGGAAGATACCTGGCGAGCCTGCTGGATGTCTCCCGCGGCCTGCCTGGACATGCGGCGGCGCTTCTCTGGGTCCTTCCCCGCCTGGCTCTGGACGCACGCATCCACCTTGAGCCGCACGGTCTGCGCCCGGCCCGCATCCTGGCGCACCCACTTGATGTACTCCTTCAGCGGCTTCTTCTCGCCGCCAGGCAAGTGGGGGTCCAAGAGCACCGCCTGCGAGAGAGAGAGAGAGAGAGAGAGAGAGAGAGAGAGAGAGAGAGAGAGAGAGAGAGAGAGAGAGAGAGGGGCTGGACCAAGTCGGAATCGCGTCGGACATGGGTCGGGGCCGCGTGGGACTCGAGTCGCGTCGGGCCCCGTGCAGGATAGGCCGGGCGGGGCACCCCTGCGGATCGAGCGGAGGTGGAATGTCCAACGGCAATGCTCGAAGTCGCCTCGCCGCGACCAGAAAAAATGCATTCCTCTGCCGGTTGCCCTTTTTCTCTTGCGCGGAATTGCAATGCGCTGAATTTAAAATTGCATCTTTTTGTGAATTTATTGAAAAAATCATTTCCCCCCAAAAAAAGTTATGTTCACCAAAACCACTTTTATGTTCACCAGGGCGATTTTATGTTCACCAGGGCGGTTTTATGTTCACCGGCCGGAAATTCAAAAAACAATTATGTTCACCAAAACCACTTTTATGTTCACCAGGGCGATTTTATGTTCACCAGGGCGGTTTTATGTTCACCGGCCGGAAATTCAAAAAAACAATGGGAAATAGAAAAAAAATCAGAAATAGAAATTTGCAGCCCGCGCGGGCAGAGAAAAATTGAAAGCGGCGGGCTCGATTTCAGCGAAATGTCCCTTGCCCGCCTGCCTTCTTGCGCAACAGGGCCTTGCAAACCAGGCACAAATAGCCCGTGGCCTGGCGGATCATGCTGCCATGGTCGGTGCGGTACTTCCACGGCCAGTATCCGCCGAACTCGTCCTCGTTACTCGCCTGGGGATACGGGCTCGGGTCCGTGCTCTCGTGGGCGCAGAGACCGCGCGTGAAGCTGGAACCATCCTTCTTGTTGAAAGGTTTCACCAGATAGCCAGCCCACTGGCCAACCACCACGAGGGCGACCTGAGAGGAAACGGGAGCCAAGAGGGAGGAAAGGAGGCGAGGCGAAAGAAAGGAAGGACATAAGGAAGTGCACAATGACGGGGGCCCCTCGACCTCGAGGCCGTGCAGCATGCGGCCCCGCCGCAACCCCGAGGCCAGGGGCGGCGCTTTCTCCGTCTCCCCGTCGGTGTCGGAAGGCGATGCCTTCACCGTCTCCGCGCGGGACATCGCGGGGAGCGAGGGGGCGGGCGCGGCGGCGGGCAGCGAGGCGCTGGCGCGGACGGCAGCTTAGCCGCAGCTCGGGAACAATGCTGCGCCGAGAGACGCGGCGAAACAGCGATTGGAGCAACGATCAGGCGACAGCTGCGCGATTGCAGCGGGCGGCCGCGGCGGCGACAACGGCTCTGAGAAATGCACTTTTACACGCCTACGCTTCGTATCTGTCCTGGCGGGAAGATCACCCGCCACTGGCCCGCCTCTCCTCCGAGTCCCTCCAAGGCTGGCTCTCGGGCATGCCCTCGAGGACCGCGCGAGCAGCGGCGATCTGCGCTGGCGTGGGCACCTTTTGTTTATGGTCTGCCTTGCTCCCGCATCCAGGGGCCTCCCCCAACCACCACCACAAAGCGGCCAATGGTCTGACCCTCGATTGCTGGTTCCATGAACAGCCTGGATGGAGGCCACAGACGGCGCGCATGTCGTAGACGGCGAGGGCCTCGTTCTCGACAAGGCGAATGTAGTGAGGACGGCCAGCCCCAGCGGGATGTGGGAGCTGCGGGTATCGGGCGACGCGCGGGCGCCTCGGCGCGCCCGCGGGGGGCGGCGGCGGCGCCGCCGCCGCGGCGTGGCCGCCCAGCGGCCCGTGCGCCAGAGCGGCGTCCGGCGCTGCTGCGGGAGGCGCCTCCGCAGGCGCGCCTTCTGCTGCACCCTGCGCCCCGCGACCTCTCTGCCGCCAGGCGGCGGCGGCCCCCCAAGCGGCCTTCCAATCCTTCGCGTAGTCAGGCTCCTCATCCCCGCCACGCGCGCCGCTGCCCCCCCCGTCGGCGGAAGCCCCGCCAGGGCGGGAGTCGGCGAACGCCTGGAACCAGCCCGTCGCCAGGTCAACGTCCTTCTCGTGGAGGCGTGCCTCGTGTAAGTCCCGCTCCTCCGCCCAATCGACCGAATGCTGCAGCTCTGAGCAACCCATGCGCGGGCGCGCAAGAAGTTCGACCCAGCGCAGCTCAGCCCGGTCGCGCCCGCACACGCGTAAGATGTGGAGGGCGACGTCGATCTCAGTCATCATCTTCAACACTCTGCGGCCCTTCCTCTCCACCCAACACCGGCGCAGAGAGAATGGCACCTCGGGGGGCGCCGCGCCGAGCCCGCATGGCTGCCCCACCGCGTCGCACTCGCAGAACTCCCCCGTGAAAATAGGACTTTTCAAGTGCGAGAAGTTGCGAATCATCACACAGCCTCCAGGCCCTGAAACTTGGGGGGCCAGCATCTTCCCGACAGTCTTGCACCTCGCAGGGGCCACCAACAACCGCAAATCTTCCACTACGCCTTGGTACTCCCCCCGCAAGTCGGCGACGCCGCCAAGGCATTCTGCCGCGCGCGTGCAGCAAGGCCGCTCAGTTGGGAGGCCGCAGCGAATGAGTCCTGGAGGCGCCACAGCAGCATTGTACATTTCGTCAAACGACACGGCCGTGGCTTCCACGAAGGATCCCCTCTTCAGCTTCGCATCGACATGTGCTTGCACGGCTGCGGAGACAAGGTCCTCGGACAAGGGGAACACGTCTGAGCCGAGACCCCAAGGCCAAGCAGCTTCGTCCGACTGGTCAACGTGGTCGCGACAGATGCGCAAATACTCGTGCAGCGGGTCTGGCTTCATCCTCTCAGCCTTGTTCGCGCGCCGAGCCGCCTCTCTCCAGCTTCGCCTCTCGGCCTCGGATGCAGCCCGCCAGTCCGCGGCCGCCTGTAGATACAGACGCCGCTCGTACTCCCTCGGGTCTGCCCATGGCGCCCGCGGCTGCGAATCTCGCAGATCAGCCACGCGACGGTGGTAAAACATATAATGGCCCAACCTCTTGCGCCGCTGGTTGCCTCCTTTGCCTTGGGCCCAGATCGGTTTCGAGTGGCCGCTCTTCTGCAGGAGTCGGCCCCGCTTGGTGCGCAAGTCGCGCCCGCGGCGCCTTCTCCGCCCCTCTTCGTGACAGCGAACAACCTCGGAGATCACGTGCTTGGCGGAGAGCGTCGCGGCGTTCGGAGGTCTGTTGTTCATCGTCTGGAGGTGGGCTCTCATCCGCGCAAAAGCCAATCCCACGCGCCCTTCAGGGCGCAAGTGGTCTAGGGAGATTCCTCTTCCAACCCCCATTCTTTCCCGTTTGCGGAGGGGTCTACCCCTCTCCCGCGCCCCCTCCCCAGGACCTGGGCGCGGGGGCCCGCAATAGGTTAGAGCGTCAAGAATGGCCCAAGACGGCCCCTAGGGTCGCAGACCGCAGCCGTGAAAAAGCCAACTCGCCTGGGCGACGTTTCTGGATGGGCTGGTGGGGATCTGCGCAACGCCAACAATTCGGAATGCACCGTCGAGGCCATCGCGCACCTAAAGCATGCGGAGAGAAAGCGCTGCACCTCTGGCAGGAAAAGGTCGTCAACGCCCGTGGTGCACATCTTCCTCAGCCTCAAGGAGAACCCCGAGTCCAGGCAACACTCGTTTGCCCGAAAGAGTTCTTCGCCTTCTGCGCGGCGGGCCCCCATGTCCAGGGAGGCGTCCACGAGCCGCATGAGCCTCCATGGGTAACCGCTCAAACGAATGTCGAAACGACGATAAAAGGACCCAGTGAATACGTGGACGATGGCGTCTGCTTCGCGGAGGACCTCGCCGGGCCAGGACGCGAGGGGGCCGTGCAGGGCAAGCGGCAATCTCCACAAATCGTAATGTCCAGCTGCAGCGGGGTCAAAGGCTGAGCTCAGCTGAGCGAGCGTGTCAAAGACGACGCTCTTGCAGAATGACGACAGCGCAGACCCCTTGGGGTCGAGCCAGCCATGCAAAGACCCACGTTTGAAACATGCGTAATGAAATCGCACCCCCACGGCGGCCACGGCCACCCACAGGACCAGCCGTTGCCGCGCAAGTAGATCGGAGAGAAACCTCATCATCTTGACGGTGCGAACACGCTGTTCACGCCTGAAATCCCCCAGGCCCGCTGCGCCGCTGCCGCTCTCGAGGCCGCCATCTTCCCGCCGCATGGCGCGCGCAGCAGCGCCGCACGTCTTCTCGAGCGCACACGGCAGCAATCCATGCAAGGAGATCAACAGCAGCATGACGCACGCGGTGGGATGCACAGTGTTCCAGCGGTTCAACGCGGGCACTGCCAAACGCCTGCGCAAAGGAACCATCACCGCCGCCACCGCTCTGTCGACAGACTCCTGCCTGTTCGCGCAGCAGTCGCGGCCCCTGCAATGGTGCACAGGCCTCTCTTGAGACATGTCGCCGGTGAACATCTCCTTGATCAAGTCGACCTCTGGCTTGGTGAGGCCTCTACGTTGGCCGCGCGCCGCTGTCACCTCCTCGTCCTCCACGTCCTCATCCATCTGGCGGTCGCAATACCCGAGCAGCGCGTCGAGCTTCCCCCTGCCCGCTGGATTCGGCGCGCCCCGCCGCACCTCCAGACCAGCCTCCTCGTCCGACAGGATTTGCCGCAGAGCTGTCTCGAGGGCCCGCAAGTTGACCCCTGTTTGCAAGTGTCTGACAGTGGAAAACATGCCGCCGACGACCCCCGTCATGTCCCCGACCGACTGCAAACATATTGCGGTTTGATGCTGCAAACAAAAAGAAGGCAACAGGAGGACCCACCAGGGCAACGTCTGCAGCAAATATTTGCACACCAGCCCGTTTGCGGCCACAGAATCGACGCTCGGGGACAAGCACGCCAGCAGCGCCGACGGCCAGAGCTCATCCATATCCACGCGCAACGCCCGCGCGAGGCCTCCGAGCATGCAGTCGGCGGTTGCAGATTCCAGCACGGACGGTGGGAAGATAAGCTCTTGGCTGTGGACGCGGAGGTCCTCGTCTTCCCAATGCAACACGCCGTGCTGTGTCATCACTTGCTGCCCACAAGGAGGCTTGCCGTCGTTCAGCTGCACAGTGAACTTGGTTTCGCCCCACTGCAGATGCATAACCAACCAATTGTGTTCTGTCCCAGGCGCTCTGAGCACTTGGCGCTCTATTTGAACACGTTGGCTGTCGCAATAAAGCTCCGCCAAAGCCGATCTCAATTGGCGAACGAAAAGATGGCTGCCTTTGATTCCGGTGCCTCTGAAAACCTTGGCGACGCTGCTAGCAGCCATCCGCAGATTCTCTTTGCTGAACACTGCGCGGAGCATTGTCCGAGGAAGCTACTGATCCCAGCGAGATCATGGCGACTTCTTGCGCGGGCCTTCCTGCCCCTCCCCCATCACGTCCACCTGTCGCTTGGCATTGTCCAACTTGTGCGTGGCCATCTGCGCCTGCAGCTCCATGTCCAGCTGGAGCCGCGCATCGCCCCTAGCCCGACGAGCTGCAGCGGCAGCCGCGCCCAGAGGCACCAGGCCGCGCCTGCCTGGGCGGGGCCCGGGGCGGCGCGCTTCTGCTGCACCTCGAGCCCCGAGCCCATCGCCGCCCACGAGGCGACCCAACGCGCCCCGAGCAGCCGCGAACAGATCCATTCGGGCATATGACCACCAGCGCGCTGGAGCCACAAGGACTACAGATGCACGGCTCACACGATAGAGGCCCCCAGCCTCCTGCTAGGTTTCTCCTCTTCCTTTTCCTCCTCCTCCTCCCTCCTCCTATTCCTCCTCCTCCTTCTCCGGTTTGCTCGACGCGGGCCCGCGCGTCACTTCTCGAGCGGTCACGGGCGCCACCGATGACGCTTGCCACCATGCGGAAGGCAGCGTCGGGTAATGAGCAGGGGTGCTCCCTGGCTTGTCACTCACAGCAGTCTGCTTTCTCCTGCGCCTCCCCTCCTCCTCCTCCTCCTCCTCCTCCTCTCCTCCGCGTTCGTTACTTATTCCTCCTCCCGCGCCCCCCCCCCCCTCTTCCTCGAGGCGGCCTGGCGCTACAACGTCTTGCACAGACCACCTGTGAAGCGGGGGTGCCCCCAGCATCCGTTCGCCGCACGGAGTGACCACATAGTGAGTACCTTAGCCTTCGCCTTTCTCTTCCCACCCTCCTCCCGTCCTGGTCTCTTCCCCCTCCCTTCCACCTCGCTTCCTCCTCCCTTGCTCCTCCCTTTCTCCCCCCGTCCTCATCCAATCCTCCCCCCTTCCCCCTTGCTCCTCCCTTCCTCCCCCCGTTGGCCCCCCTTCCTCCTCCTGTCCTCCTCTCTTCCTCTTCCCTTCCTCCTCCCTTCCTCATCCCCTCCTCCTCTCTTCCCTCTCCCTTCCCCCCCCCTTCCTCCTAGTCGCCGCGGCGCGGCAGGAAACGCATTCACAACAGTCGTTTCAATCATGAGCCGCCGCAGCCGCGGGGTGCGCCACAACCACAAAGGAGGAAAGATGTCCGCTGACGAAGACGACGACGACGACGACGACGACGACGACGACGACGGGCTCCACGACGACGACGACGACGACGACGACCACGACCACGACAACGACGTCCACGACGACGACAACGACGACGAACACGACCACGACCACGACGACGACGACCACGACGACGACGGCCACGACGACGATGACAACGACGACCACGACGAGGACGAGGACGATGACGACGACGACGACGACGACGACGATCACGACCACGACCACGACGACGACGACGACCTCGGGAAGCCCTCTACAGATACCCTTGGGGTAATTTTGGGGGAGGAACCTCTTGAAGCCTACTCGGCGTCCTCTCGGGGCCGTCTTGGAGCCCACTGGTGCCTCTTGGAACCTCTGCAAGCTTCCCCAGGCCGCGTTGGGGGGCTCTGTCAGCCCAGGGTTCCCCACCTCGTTGGGGGTGCTCTGTCACCCGACATCTTCTTTTTTTCATGTGCGAACGTTGCGCACGAAGCTCTCAAAGGAATAATCCGCAGCGAATTGGCGCCGTTCCAAATGCCAGCAATTCGGGCGCGGCTGCTTTGCAGGCCGTCACCAGGAGAGGGAGTAGGGAGAAGCGCGCTGATGCTGCACCAGAGGAGGCGAAGAGGAATGAACAGGTGGCGGGGGCTGCCTGCTAGTTGGACAGCTCGCGGGAAACAGATAAATCACGCCGCTCCGCAAACTTTATAAACATCCTCGACGCTCACGTGGTCGACTGGAAGTTTGCCGTCGGCGGGCGGGTACCAGCAAGTGGCAAACAAGCCTTTGTACCGTTGAGCCCTCGACACCATGCAATCGACCATCTGATCGTCCAGGGTCACTGGCGTTTGCACCTCCTCCCTCAGCGCCTCCACCGCCCGCCCCTTGTCGGCGTGGTGGCCCCCCAGAAGCCTGCGCTCTGGATGAAACGGCAACCCCTTGGTTTGCAGGCCAGCCCTGACGAGCTCATTCAGCACGAGTTCGGGCCTGCACACGAGGTCCTCGTGCCGCGCGACGAGGACGCGATGGGTTGGAGACGCCGGGCTGCCCACGCCAGTACCGTGGAGCACTGCGGCCATGTAGTGGCACCACAAGTCGAACGCATCCTCGAACTCTGGATCGTAATCGACGCGGCCTTTCGCCCAGGCGGGCCAGCGGACGTGCACAGGTTCGTCTCTCGGCCCCCGCAAGAGCCAACTCACGCCCCCCATCCTCCGAACCCGCTTCGTGCCGCTGGCAGAGTTCGGCATCAGTTCGTAGGCGCCCTTCGACATCGCCCTGATCCACCTGGGGGAGGGGGATTGCGAGAGCAGCATGGCATGATAGTTTGGGGGAAGTGAGAAGACGGGAGGGCAGGCAGGCTGATACCTCAAAAGCTGGCGCGCTTCTGCTGCACCATTGGCCCGAAAGACCCGTCGGCCGCCTGGTCGGCTCGCGCGTGCACACCAGAACCACCACTGGGCGGCCCTGCTCATCCTCTGGCGGAAACTCCAACGGCGTGAGGAGCAGGTCGTGCTTCCACACGTGGCGGCCGTTGAAGGAGACGCACCCGTCCCACCTGCTCTTGCGCACCTCGACGTCGAAGTGCCGCCCCATGTAACTGTGGAGGGCGTGCGTCCCCGTTTTCCAGAGCCCCTGCACGACAACGCACGGCCGCTGGTACTTGCCGCCTGCATTGAGCTGCAGGTGGTCGTCCTGCATGCGACAGTACCCCACGGGCGTGCCCACCACAGGTACAGGCAGCACAACGTGGATGGACACCTCCTCGAAGTGGAGCGGCCCCCCTGGGCTCCCGCGCGGCACCTGTGACTGAGAGGGGGGGCCAGGCGAGGACTCTCCCTTGGTCTTCCCGTGGCCTTCCTGACCCCCATCATGCCTGATTCCAGTATAACCTCCCCAACCCCCTCCCCTTGGGAATGGGTCGATTTCCACGACGACCAGAGTCGAACGGGGTGGAGGTGTGGTCGGAATCGATCAGGCGGAATCTATTGGAGCCAATTGGAATCGGAATCGATCGCGCTGGGGATCGGATCGAACGCGGGCCCGACGGGAATCGCTCGGCACTCGGGCTCCTCGAAGAAGCCCCGTCAGACGCGTTCGGAAGCGGACTCAGAATCGAGCGGACTCGATAGAAATCGAAATCGGAAACGTCAAAAATCAGACTCGGCTTCGTCGCCCTCGAATTTTGGCCCCGTGTCCGCGTAGTCCACGGCGACGGCGCCCGTCCCCGCGCCGTCGGGCACGGGGGGCGGCGCCGACGCATCGGCAGGCGGCGCCAGCGGCGGCGGCGGCGCCAGCGGCGGCGGCGGTGGAAGCCCAGCCGCTACGACCTCCGCGGTCGCGAAGGCTCTGGCAGCTCTGCGGCGGGCCTGTCCTGCAACGGCGCGCGCTGCAGCGCCACTCGTTCTCTGGTGCGCAGTCTCCCAGTCGGCCGCAAGCGACGCGAAGGCCTCGGCCTCGGCGCTGTCTCGGACGACGCGCCTCTTCGACGCAGGCTCGGGCGGGCCCGCCGGACTGCCCACCTCCGCGCCCACCTCCGCGTCGGAGCCCTCCACCACGAGCGGCGCCGCAGCAGGCGGCCCTGACGACGAAGCAGCAGCCCCGGCGCGCGCGGCAGCACCAGACTGGGCCGCGATCGTCGCGATGGGGATTTGGCCGCCGACAGCGCCAGGCGGCCCCGTCGACATCTCCTGGCCAGCGTCGGGGGCGGGCGGCAGCGCGAGCAACGGCGTCGGAGGCGCGTGCTCGAGCGACGGCGGCGCCCCGCACTCCGACCAGGGCCCGAGGAGAAGCTGCGGGGCGGCCGACTCGCCGTGGATCCACGGCTCAGAGGTGCTGAACACCAGGAGAGTGCGCAAGTCGTCGGCCGCGGTGTCGGGCACGCCCAAAGGCGACCAAGGGCAAGGCTGCAACGGCGTCGGGGGCCCCCTCGGGGGGGCGCGGCGCCCAAGGAGAACCTCGATCCGCTCGTTGATGGCGGAAAGAAGCAGTGCTCGGCCAGCGATGGGAAACCGCCCCTGCTCCTCCGCGCGCGGCGGCGCGCGGCTCGCCAGCTCCAGCTCCATGGACTGCTCGGCCTCGGACGGTCCAGGCGTGGGCGGCTCCTCTGGCAGCGGCGGGCCCGGCTGCTCTGGGAGCCCCTGGCGCACGCCCCCGAACCAGTGCTTCAGCCGCCACTTCACCTGCGAGTCGGCGGGGGGGGGACATGAAGGAGAGAGAAGGGCGTGACAGGAACATGGCGGGCCCGATTTGCAAACTATGCCGATTCACCTTGCTCTCCCGATTCTTGCCGCCCCGCTTGTGCCTCGCCGAAGCGAAACCCTTGGCTTCCCACGGCGGAACGCTCTGGGAGGGGCCGGCGCGCTCGGCTGCACCATGGCCCCCCCCCTCGTCGCGCCATGGAGCCGCGGCGTGCGCCTCCGCCTCCGCCTCCGCGGCAGCGGCCCTGCTGCTCGAGGCGGAGGGCCACCGCCAGGCGCTCCGCCAACCGCTGTCGGAGGCCCAGGCGGAGGACCGCCAGTCGCCGTCGGAAGACCACGCCCCGCTCCACCAACCACCCCAGGCCATGGCGTCTGCCAGGGGCAGCGGCAACGGGAGCTGCGAACGCGCAGCGCGGCAACGCGTGCTCGCTGCTCGAACCAACGCAGCAGCAAGGAGCGAGAACGCATGCATGACGCCTCTTCCCCCTTTTCCCGTGTTCCTTTTCCTCCTCTTCCTCTGCTTCCCTCTCCTCCTCCTCCTCCTCCTCCTCGTCCTCCTCCCCCTCCCCCCCCTCCTCCTCATCCCTCCTCCTCCTCCTCCCTCCCCCGCCTCCTCCTACCTCCGCCTCCTCCTCCTCCGCTCCTCACCCGTCTCTCTCCCTTCCCTCCTCCTCTCCTCCTCCTCCTTCCCCTTCCTCCTCCTCCTCCTCCTCCTCCTCCTCCCCTCATCCTCCTCCTCCCCTCTCCTCCCCCCTCCCCCCCTTCCTACTCCCCGCCTCGTCCTCCTCCTTCTCCTCTTCCTCCTCCTCCTCCTCCCCCTCCTCCTTCCCTGGGCGCTGGTGGACCCTGCCACTGCCACTGGGACCTTCACCGGAGCTCCCTCATTATGGGGCCACGGAGCGTGCGAGAGATGCGCCGGAATTGACCTGCGGAGAGCGGCCGCAAGGATGGGAGGAGGGAGGGGGAGAGGGGCCCGATACACTCATAATCCCAGATACTTTGAACAAAAACAAGCAAGAAAAAAACACATAAATTCAAGTTATTAATTAATAAATGGAATAAATTTTTTAAAAATGAATTTCCAATTAAAAACCAAATAAACAATGTAAAATCTGAATAAACAATAGAAAATCATAACTTTTGAATTTCCGGTTAAAAACCTCACTGGCGAATAAATTTCCTTCCCTACAGGATCCTTGAATCATCCTAATTCGCGCGGTGCCTGTTGGCGAACAATGCCGTCGTTCTGTTCGCCAACTTCCCTGGGTCGAAGCTGGCCTTCAGGCTCATCTGAACCTTCGTCGTCCTGAAGCAGGTTGCCCCGCGACCATGCCCTTCTTGGCGGCGCGATCTCGCGGGAGCGGGCGCTGCGCGCCGCTTGAGCGGGCGCGCGAGTGCCTGCGATGATGACCCCGCCGATGATGGCATGGCGGGTTGCTCTCAGCTGCCCACTCCCCATCGCCATCTTCAGCCCGCTCTACGCGTCTGTCTCGAAACCTTGCGGCTCGATGCGCGGTCGTGTAGTACGGAGGTACTGTGAAAGCCTTCATTCTGTCCGAGTTCACACTGGACCCGCTCAGAAAAGTCACTGGCACCACGCAGGTTAGTTACCCCGCGAAGGGCCATCATAGCAAATTGCCCTGCATGTGGGATTTCCGATCGTCTGCGGTCGGAGCGCCAATTCTAGCTCCTCTTCCGCGGCCGGCATCGCGTCGTCATCAGAGCTATCCGGCCTATATCCGTCGGAGTGCGCAGGTGCCCCCGCCACCTCGAAGTCCGAGTCGGCGGATGACTGGCACTCCTCGATGATCTTCACATGTGCAAGTTGCCCCGCGATCGGGATGCCCGGCCAATCTGCGGGATCGATCTCGTCGCGACCAACGCGCGCCTCCTCGCGGAGCTCCTCGGCGCACCTCTCGAAGGGCAAGCCGGCGCTCATGCATCTCGCAGACGTTAAATGGGCAGCGGCAGTGGGGTCACCTTCTGATTCGGCAGAAAATGTTTCGACATCGACATGCTGAATCTCGGAGTCGGTTCGCGCCAAATGCATCGACGGGCCCATGCCTCTCCTGTCGCCTCGGGGGCGCTCGCGACAGAAAAGCTGGGCGCTGTGGCAGATGCCGCGCGCCATGGATTCCCCGTTGGCGTCCTTCGGGTTGCCCCGTCGCCCCGCGCCTCTCTCTCTCTCTCTCTCTCTCTCTCTCTCTCTCTCTCTCTCTCTCTCTCTCTTTCTCTCTCTTTTGTTTCTCTCTCTCTCTCCTCTCTTCTCTCACACACCCCCTCTCTCTCTCTCTGTTTTTTCCTCTCTCTCTCTCTCTCTCTCTCTCTCTCTCTCTCTCCTTCTCTTCTCCTCTCTCTCTCTCTCTCTCTATCTCCTCCCTCTCTCTTCTATCTCTCTTCTCTCTCTCTCTCTTCTCTCCTCTCTCTATTTCTCTCTCTCTCTCTCTCTCTCTCTCTCTCTCTCTCTCTCTCTCTCTCTCTCTCTCTCTCTCTCTCTCTCTCTCTCTCTCTCTCTCTCTTTTTTTTAAATTGTTTTTTTTTCCTGCGGCGCGCTTGCGGCCCCCACCCTTCCCCAGGAAGATCCCCTCATGCTGTGGTCCCGCAAGGGGGGCCAATAATGATGGCTGGCATGCCTCAACCGCGCAGCCGTCGTCGTCTACCTCTGCCTCTACCTTTACCCTTTGACCTAAATGCGCGCGTCGGGCCGCAAGTCGCGCCTTTCGAACTGGCACTTTCATAAAGCGCCCCCGTCGACGCTTGCGTTTCTGGTGGTCCAGGAATATCCATTTTGCTTTTTGTTCCTCGGCGAGGTGCGCAGGCATATGCGAAAAGTATAGGTTGCCAAGTCCTTCATCAGGCGGAGCGTCGGCATCGGTGCCTGAGTCAAAGTTGGACTCTGCGGGTTGCCCCGCCGAGCCCACTACTGGCCTGGGTAGGGGCCGCCGTTGCAGACGGTCTCTGATTTTGAGCCTGGGAGTCTTGCGGCCCCAAGGGCTGGCCACCTTGTTGGCTTAACGAAGTGGTGGCCTCGTTTGGTTGTGAATCGTCCTCCCAGATGGTGCTGGCAGGGCGCCCCGCGTAAGTGTCACTATGAAACACATCAGTGCGGTTGCCGCGGTTAAACGCACCACCAATGATACCGAGGGTTCTTTCGGCGATGTGGGCGTGAGCCCTCGTGCGCTCCAGTAAGGAGTCGACTTGTTGCTGAGTCCTTGGCATTTAGTGTTTCAGTGGTTGTAACAGTTGTGGCGCACGCGAAGCGCCGACACCTAGGGCCCTGAACAATATGACTGCCAGGATTTGGAAATTTGTGATGTTGAACCCCGCGCGGTCGGCTTCAAAACGTGCAATCTCGAAACGCGCCAACGCCTGATCGATCCATTTTCCCGCATGGAGCCGTCACCGAATTCAACTATCGCTCATCTTCAAGATTTTCGAATTTAGTGCGGAGGAGGAACATTCTAGAGCTGGCCCCGTCGGTGTGATGTCCACCAATGCTCGCTCCAAAGTTGATTACTCCTGGGGGGGCTCTAATCTACTGGCAATGGTCCTTGCCAGACCTCCAAGGCCACGCTGCAGAGCAGCGGCCTGTTGGGAGGGAGTCATACTGCCTGTGGCCACTGTGATCCAGGCATGTATCTCGCGAGCGAATTCGCGGAAAAAGGGCAATTACCGGCAGGGTCCCAATGGGGGCTGGTAGTGCGCGTGTCGTCTGCACCGCGATGCATATGTCCAACACCACATCCGATGGCGACTCAGAGGAAGCCAAACACAGCGATGCCAATCCAGTGGCCTCGTAGGTCGGTGTCGGTTGTAGGTGGCATGCGTTTGTGGGGTGACGTTGCCATCAGTTCGCGAGGAGGTGCAGGCGTCGCAATATCATAAAGCATGCTACCACGCATGGCATCTTCGAAATAATTGCACATTGGCGTTGGCGGGTGGACTTCCGGAGTGTAGTCGCGCAGAAATGCAGGGTTTGGTTAGGAGACCTTTGCGCGAGCAGAAGCTTGAATGCAAATGTCCTTGCGATGGCCATGGTCTCCTCCGCGTAGACCACTGCGCCGTGATGGTCCACCGTATCAGTAGTCCACCAGCTACTGCCGTGAATAGCAAGGAGTAGAACTAGACCTGACCACCAACGGCCAGCTCCGCTACCAAGTTTAAAGCCAACTCGGAAACCCAACTAGATACTACGCCTTAGGCGTAGTATGCGTCCAATCGTGTTGTATCGTATTCAGCGATGGTGCCAAAGGTAGGAGATGGCCGCGTGAGCGGCGAAGGAACATCTCAAGAATAAAGGGTGGGACCTTTTCTGTCTCGATGTTAGATAGCGGGAAGCGATGCGACCCGGTCAAATTGGCGGACGGTCGCTTGAACCCAAGCGGCCGCGGACAAGCGCTCGATACCTCTCGCCTTTGCCCTTCCCACGCGCCTCCAGGGCCCTCGGCGCCTCAAAATCAGCCCTCCGTGGCCGCTGAGATGCCCAAGATGCTTTCTTGGATGGCTCCAGAAGGCCTCTACACACGCCAGAGAGGCCTCAGAACGCCAAGGATAATCTCCAGGCGGCCCAGGATGCAGAACAGGCCCCAAGAGGACACCCAGGAGGCCTCAAGTGGCAAATCTCGTTTTGCAGTGGTTCTTCAATGACTTTCGCGTTCTCGCCTCGGTGAGTGTCTGCAAGCCAAAACAGCGCAAGAGGCCTAAGACGAACCAAGAAACCCCCAACAAGGCCAGGCGACGGCCCAACTAGGCCCCAAGATGGGATGCCGCACACACCCCACACCCTCTTCTGAGGGTCGGCGGAATGGGGCAAGTCTCTTGGACCAATCCCGCTAGATAACGACGGACAACAAAACGTTGTACTTTTTGGTCCGCGCGCCGAGACGAGCGGGCAACGGCCCTTCGGCCGTCCGTTGCGTACCTGCTTTGAGGAGCATGCCTGTCTTCACTGTCAAGGCTGGGTGCTGGAACAAAAAACTAACAGACACCCATAGCAGATGTTTGGACGGGCTCCTCAGGAGGACGCCAAGCGACACACCCGCGGTCGGACCTAGGCCAAAAGAACCTCCCTCAAGAACATGAGAACCTCCGCCAGCCAACATGAAGAGCAGTCGAGGGTACCCTCCCCCACGATGCACAATAACACCCAACAAACACGAGAACGTGAGGGTACCCTCCCCGAACCGACCTTGATCTTATGCCTCGGTCCGACTGTACGCCGATCCAGGCTCATCCTGAGCACAGGATTGGTGTCTAGGACCTCCCTGCTTGGCCAGGAAAGCCCACACACACCGACCTGGGGCCAACGATCAAGCCAGCAAGGATCGATGAATGTGTATATGGTAGGTTTGTGTTGTGCCGACCCTGGCGTTGGTTTCTGACACCGCGCTGGCTCGTTCAAATTTGAATGATAGGCCGTTTCCCAAACGTTAGATCGCTCAACATCGACCGATTCTGGGTCGCCGGCGGCGTTCAACGTTGAACGCCGGCGGCAAGGTCGCCGCCGGTCGACACGACGCGGACCTACCATGTTTAGCGTCCTACGACTTTTGTACGCGAATGAAAATCGAAAGAAGAAAATTCAGCACCTACGGAACACTGGACAGGGCAGAACAGTGGTAGGCATGAAGGAACACGTGTGATTGCAAATCCGCCGACCCTGTCGGCGTGTGCGAGGGGCTTGGCTGTTCGAGTCGTCGTCTCCGTCGGTCGTCGCCTCCGTCGTCCCCTTTCCCTGCAGCTTCCTTCTCAAGCTCGTGAGCGAGAGAAAAATCTAGCAGTGTCGTAATCGAGTCGAAGGGAAGCCCCTTCCCTTTGATCCCTTCCCCGGGGGGGGGGTCCCGGGGGGGTCCCGGGGGGTGGGGGTCCCGGGGGGGGTGGGGGGCAGATTCGTTTTTTCCTCGGGCGGCCTAGAAACCTCGAAAACACTCCAAATGAGGTCCGAATGCCCAAGATGGCCCCCGAGACGGCCCAAGAGGGCCCCGAGTCGCCCAAAGATCGGCCGAAAACGCCCAAGATAGCCCCAAGACCGTCCAAGAAGCCTCCAAGACGTCCCAGGCCCCCTCCAACAGACCCCCAGGAAGCCCCAAGAGGCCCCCACGAGGCTTCCAGGCGGCCCCTAAGACCTTCCCAAGAGGCCCACAAACTACCCCCGAGAGGCCCCCAAGAGCGCTCGTCGTCGTCGTCGTCGTCGTCGTCGTCGCCATTCAGGGTCGGCGGCACCGGCCGTAAGGCCTTCGCAATATCCAAACACGAACAAAATCGAGCTGCTTGGGTGCACGCTATGCTCGGGGTGACCTGCCCACCTCCGCGCCTATCCCTGACAATATGGTACACTATGTGCTGCCAGAGCAAAACGTATCGCACGCGCAATGCCTCATACGCGCAACGTCGACACTGTGAGCCAGACGCGTGAACGCGAAACCCGTGATCAGATGTTCGCTGTGCCCGTCTTGCATCCAGGGCCGCGTAGCACGAATCCTCCGCACCAGAAGTCTCAAACCGCAGCTACTATACCGAAGCAGGTTGTGAGCAGGCTCGATCGTGTAGCCAATCACGCCTCGGCTTGCGTACCACAACTGCCCCAACACGAAATACAATGCAACTGTCCCAGCACTGTCTACTTGCTGAGGTTACCTGGCTTCCACATCATCCCCTCCAGCGTGGCCCTCACCGAATCCGCATCTGCGCCAAGCGCCCGTCGCGCCAGGGACATCTTTTGCGCCTCCAGTACCACGGCGGTGGCGACATTGAGGTTCACAAGCTGCACTTGGTCCCGATGAGGGATTACTCGGCCCTCGTCGAAGTCCTGCTGACTCAGGCTGTTCGCCACTGCCTCTGCGGCCACTAAAAAGAACCTTTCTGGGATGGTCCTCGCTTGGCAGCAAATGGCGCCGAAGGACATACCAGGGAAAATATACACGTTATTTACCTGCCCAGGCGATTGCCTCTTCCCCCCGACCTCGACAGCATCGAAGTGGGTCCCAGATCCGAAGATGGCAGCCCCGCTCGACCATCGATAGCAATCCACTGCCGTGATCTCTGATTGGGACTTCGGGTTCGAGAGAGCAAAAATGATGGGCCGCCCCCCGCTCCCGACACTCTTCATCATCCCGTCGACGACCTCCTTGGTGAAACAGTTCGGGGAGACACCCACGGCACCGACCAAGACTGTAGGCTTCACTGCGCGGATCACGTCGACGAGGCTCCCGCACGCGAACTTGGGTTTGCCCTTGTACGCAAGGGCCTTCTGCTCCTCGTTCTTGAACACGCCCTGAGACCCATCCTGGGACACCCAAATGAGGCCCTTGGAACCGCAGATCAGCACACGGTGTTTCTCAACTCCGCCCTCGTTAAGGAGCAGATTTGCGGCGCCAATGTTGGCGGATCCCGCGCCGAAGAAGAGGAACGTCTCCTTCCTCAGCGCGCCGATTAGGTCAGCGCAATCGGGATGTTTGATCTTAATAGCTCCCATGATACCAGCAACGGCTACTGCCGCGGTGCCCTGGATGTCGTCGTTGTAAGTCAAATACTTCTCCCGATACTCGGCGAGGAGCGGGAATGCGTCGTTGGAGTTGAAGTCCTCGAACTGCAAAAGGCAAGTGTCTCCGAACAGGTCGGTGGCCGCCACGAAGAGTTCCTGGATAATGTTTCCCTGTCCGTAGTAGCAAGAATTGACCATCGTGCCGGCAGCGGACTTCTCCAGGTTGCGGTCCTGTTTCAGCCCCGTGTACAGGGGGTGCTCGCGGATCTCCAGCTTGTCCGTGTTCTTGGAAGAATCACCGCAGCCCGCGTCGATGATGAGCGGAATGACGCGGTGCGGGCTGACCCCACCGCAGACCGTGTAGAGGTCGAGCTTGCCCACGGGAATGCCCATGCCCCAGGCGCCGAGGTCGCCCAAGCCGAGGATCCGGCCCCCATCGGAGAAGACGATGCAATCGCAGACCGGCCGCCCCTCGACATGCTCCAACTCCGCCCGCGCGTATTCGTCCAGGACCTCCCGGGCACGCCCGCGGTCGGCCACAGAGAGATAGCAACCGCGCCTGCTGAAGGGCAGCATCCCGTACTTCTGGCACACCTCCCCCACCGTTGGCGTGTACATGACCGGCAGCATCAGGGACGGCTGCCTCAGGATCGTCTCGTAATAGATGTCCAGGCTCTTGGCGTGCAGCGCCTTCATCCACAAGTGCGCCCAGAGGTGGTGGTCCAACTGGATCATCGATCTCACCCTCGCGAGCGCGTCGTCCGCGCTCTTGACATCCGCCATGCCGCCGAGCATCTCCACCAGTGGAGCCAGCTCGGGCCGCCGGTTCCAGGCGGCGGGGCCACCAGCTTTCGCCACCTCCCTGGGCCATGAGAGGCGGCGGTCGGCGCCGCCGCCGGGAGCCTCCCTCCCGAGCTTCGGGTAGCAGATCATGCCGATGGGCATGCAGGCCACCTCGTCGTCGCACGGGGTCGTGGCAGCGGGCGTCTGGCACCACATCTGGCCGACACTGTTTTCGGGCACCGAGGTCAGCCGGCGGTGGGCTGGCAGATGCAGAGTACCGAACGCCAAGGGGCAGCTGCAAATCCTCCTCGGGCCCAACGCCTTGAACTGCACGGTGCCTACCAAAGTCAGAATCTGTTCGCAAATGTCACCAGGAGGAGTGCGTCCGCTTTCAGCATGGGGGAGACGAGTTCTGAGGCAAACGGGTCCTGGACCCCAGGGCCTTCCCCCAAGACGAGATCTTCATCCTGACTCGTTTTCTGACAGTTCCGGGGCCCGTGGAGGGCCAAGAGAGCCCGACAACGGCGAAACACCTCAGGACCTGTTTCTCTCGGGACGCGTTGTCACCATGACGCGGCATGTGGTTTGGAAGCAACGCGTAAGTCACGCAGCCGACGGCAGAAGGGGACGGTCGTCATCCGACAAAGCCCGCCAGACACCAGCAGCAAAACGCAGCACGGTAACAGGTCAGACCGCCACTGGGGGTCGATCGACTGGTACTGTTTTGTCCAAGGCGCGAGCGAGGCCACGACGAGCACAACATCGGGTGAGGATCCCGCGGCTCTGGAGGATGGCTCGGGGCCGCGGCCTTCTCAGAGCGTTCTGGAACGCTCTGAGCTCGTCCAGGAACGCTCTGGAACGGACTTATCCTCGTCTTGGCCACGTCCGATGTTTCTCACACGCGCCTCAGCAAGCGAAGCTCCTAGATTGCCCTGGACTTGTCCTGGAAACCATTCTGACAACTTCTTCGACGCGTCCGGCCGTGGTGACGGCCGCCACCTCCCCCCCCCCCCGAAGGCTTCGGCCCTGAGGCAACAGAAACGATGCAAACAAGCACTAAATTCCCAGCGACACCAACCGCAGAGGCCTCAGCGTCAGCCTTCTCCGCCACCGTGCCTTGTGCACGTCGACGCGTGGAAGAGTGCGAAGGGCCGTCTGGTAAGGCTTCTGTGCTCTACTCAGGGACCCCCCCTTCTCGTGTCTACCCGCATGCATGCATCGCCCACCCTCTCGAGCCAACGATCCCTTGCAAAGAACAACGGGTCTGCGTTCCCGAAGCAACAATCCTTTGTTTAAAACGATGGATCCGCGTCCCGAACTTCAAAGAATGTCCATGCAGGCAGCCAAGGACAACAATGTGGTCCAAGATGCCTCATAAGGGCCCAAGGTGCCTCCAAGACTGCCCAGAAGGGCCGCAAGAGGACCTCCAACAGGGTCCGAAGAAGCCAACATCATTTCTTCCCCTCGGTTGTTTGACATTGTTTTCCCACGGTTGTTTGAATGATTTTCACAATCTCGCCTTTTTGGGTTTCCGTCAGCTCAAGACGGCGCAAGATGGCTCCACGATGGCCCCAAGACGGGCCAAGATACCCTCAAGAGTGTGCTAAGATGGTACAGCGTCCCTCCCAAGATGGCCAGGCATCTAAGACGGCCTCCCGCGGGACCCAATACTGCGTAAGAAGGCCTTTTGATTGCCCAAGCGGCCCACGACGGCCTCCTGACTCCCACCATACGGACAAGACCGCGCCAAGACGGCCCAAGAGTCCCACATCGGCATAAGAGGGCCCCAAGAAAGATCAACAGGGCCCCAAGGGACCCCAAAATTGCATCACAAGAGGCCAAGGCAGGCTCAAGACGGCCCAGAAGAGTTTCATGAACAGCTCATCATATGGTGGAAACGAATGGCGTAACATGTGACGGCCTTCCTCTTCCACATCCTGCTCCTGCTGCTGCTGCTGCTGCTCCTCCTCCTCCTCATCATCATCAGCATCATCATCGTCATCATAATCCGCAGCACCAGCACCAGCATCATCAACAGCAGCATCATCATTAACATCATAATCAACATTATCATCACCAAATTTCATAATTCGCCAGCCCAACGGGCAACACGCGTGCTAACATCTCTGGTGCGAATTTGAAAATGTTTCTGATTCGCGCGCGCGTGGCGGCCCCTGGGGGTCCCCAGCCACAGCCAGGTCCGGGCAGGTCCGGGTCAGAGATGTAGGAACTCCTGGGCGCAGCCTCGGAGGCCAACGGAGTGCACAAGTCGAACCAAGTTGGTCTCAAGGCGGCCAAAGAAGTGCCCAAGACGCCCCACGAGGGCTCCAAGACGACCCCAAGGGGGCCCGAAAAGGCAAGACTCAATGATGTTGCTAAGGTTTCTGACCGATTTTGGTCTTACCGCCTTTTCGAGCTTCCGACCGCCCAAGACGGCCCAAAAGTGCCCCAAGACGGCCTCCCCAAGTTTGAAAATGGTTGGAAGGCCCAACCAGCAGTTTCGCCCCAGGCGAAACCCAGCTCCACCTCTGTTGTATCGTAGTAACGATAGTCCCAGTAGTAGGAGGTCGTCGCGGGAGCGACGGGCCATCTCAAGCGAAGGATGTTTTCGGTCTCGATGGCGAAATGGCACACCTCGCAGTGAGGTGTAATCAGATTTGGGCGGGCGGCCGCTGGAGCACAAACGGCCGCGGACACACGCTCGTGACCTCTCGCATGTCTCCCAGCTCACTTTAGAATCGGGGGGAAGGGGGCGAAGCGGGAGCCCGCCGCTTCTATGCAGCAGGCACAGCAGCTACTATGTACCAAAGGGCAGCAAAAGGGCGGGGCCATAAGGAAGGTGGACCCGCGCGCAAGTTGCCTTGCCTGCGCCTTACTGTGCATGCGAGTACTCCTCAGGCGGCTGCAGACCGAGATGTCTGGCCAGCCCGATAAGGAGCATGACGCTTTAAATCATGCGTGAAGGGTTGCGTACGTCTTATGACCTGTAGGAGCATTTCTCGGTCGATGCTCCCCTTGGTGTGACCGTGCGCGGTCATATCGCGGGTGTTACACTCTTGAACACTGTGCACGATTCCTCGCTCCATCATCTGTCGCATCCAGCTGATGTGTCCTAAAAGAGTACACTCAGTCGGCTTCTTCAAATCTTTGCTTGACAAGGACTTAAAACCAGGCTCAGCAAGTGAACGACAGGCTTGCCAGGTGGCGTGCTTCCATGCCGTAGCAGGTTTGCCCCGCGAATACCAATCCACTCAGGCGTCGATAACGTGAGTCGCCGTGCAGGTCAACTTCGCCCGTGGGAGTCATCGCTCGGTGACGGTCTTCTTAGGGCAGGCCTGCAGTTTCCTGGTGATCGCGTTCAGTCGTCGCACTTGCATGTTGGTCGTTTCTTGGGCACGTTGTAGAGAGACAACATATACCATCAACCACGCCTGGGTGATTGATGCATGCGCCACTGCGCCTCTGAGGCTGACGAACATGTCTGCAACCATCTTGGGTGCTTGGGCGTCAGCGCCGGCGCCTGTAAGGTCAAGGTGTTGTATAGGACGGAGCTGCTTGGTGTATTTGTCTCGGTCCAACGTAACAATGCCGTCCTCATCGTTGGTATATATATATATATATATATATATATATATATATATATCACAGCCCAATTGTGCATGTGTGCTTGTGGAGTTTACACGTGCCAAAGGTGTCCTCCACGCGCTTGGCGCACTTGTCAATGGCGCCCTCTGCGTCTGTCATATTGATGTCATCAACATGTTTGGCCGAGAGCAGGTTGCTGCTCGCCTCGAACTCGTCGTCGCAGGACGTGGGTCTGAGGCCGAAGCCTCTTGTGATCCTTCTGAACTTTAGTGGGCGAGCTCGAGGTGCGTCCTTGGTGCCAGTACCTGGCTCGAGGCACTGCAGGCAGTGCTTCGACTCGTCGTCGCGCTCGAATCCTGGGTCAGTTCGAAGCGCCGTAGCCGATCCAGGCGGCAGAGTAAAGCACGCCACGCGTTCTCGCCAGTTGCCTCAGCAAGTTCCTGGTAGGTAAACCCTTTCAGGAAGGCCATTTTGATGTCGAGGGAAACAATGACCCATTGCTTCTTGCACGCTTCCGTGCTCGCGAGCAGTCTCTGGATTGGCCGCCGTGCTGTTCCCCAGAAGGTTTCCACGTCGAAGGCTTCGTGGTCCATGAAGCCTCGGAGCACTAGGCGTAACCTGATGGTGCGTTCCATCTCGCCCTTCTCGTTCTTCACGAACTTCCATTTGTGCGCGTGCCTCGAAGTCATGATGTTTGACGTTTTACATACATCTTGCATTGTAGAGCCCCTGTTGTCAAACCATGTCTTGAGTTCAGTGTCTAGTGCATGAGCTTTCGACACTCTTTCGGATTTCGCCTTGACGCCCGCCTTCGCGAGAAGGTCGTCTCCTTTTCACGACCGCAGCTCGCTTTGCAGCGGCGGCATCCTATATATATATATATATATATATATATATATTCGCATGGTGGTAACACGGCCGGCACCTAATATTCTGCCCTGTTGTTCGGATAGGACTACCTTTGGCATATCTGCCGTAGAGCAGAGTTCTACATACCGCCAGTGTTCGTCTGAGTCCAGTCCATAACTGCTATCTTCGATCGTGGAGCACAATGAGACATGCTATGTTTCCTCGATGTCGGAATCGCGTGGGCGCCCCCACTGAGGCAGGTGCCCCCGCTTTTCTTTAGCAATAGTGATCAGCGCACTGCTGTCTGGAATCATGTGTGGGTGCTGCGAAAATGTCCTCTAGTGGAGTTGCCTCCAGTAGTTCCCTTCCGCCTTGTAGTTCTGCATACCACACTTCCATAATATGTGCCTCGAGGTCGGCCTCCGATTCCTCATGTCGTGGGTAGCCGTCCATCCTCCTGTGGCGGTTCGGCTTCTGGGACTTCTCTTGCGGTTCCGTCCTGCGTCGGTAGATCCGCCAATTCCTCAAACTTTGTCATATCCTGGTCGAAGCCCGCTTGAGGTTTGGTGGGCTCCAGGCATTCGATGATTCTTGAATGTACTGATCCAATTGCATTGTGAATGTTAAAAGCGGTGCCCTGTGCTTCATAATAATGAAATCTGGGATTTACACCGTTCTCATAGTCGTCCACTGCGCAGCTGGCGGCGTAAGCCACCAGAGGTAGCTCGTGAAGACTTTTGGCTAACCTAACAGGAACTACATTCTCGATGCAGAAGATGTTTTTTGATAAGGTGTTGTAAAGCGAGATGCACCTGAGGAGATAGCCGGCCTGCACTAGTCATCTGAAACGCTCCCTTCTTGGTCGGGAAATAG